AGATGGGCGTTATATAAATCACATAAATACATCAATAAATCAATAAATAAATAAATAACACAGACATAAATACATACATGCATGCATACTTACTTACATACATAGATAAAAAATAAATAAAAGAAACAATCATGAAGAACTTCAAATAATGCAGTGAAACGTGAGGGAGACGACTACGAGGCCGAGTCCCGCCCTGCATTTCCTATGGGGATTGTAGGCAGAGAGAGGGAGGGAGGGAAATCCCCCCAGACCTCCTTTTTATCCTTTCCTTAAGGGCCAGCCTCAGGGGGTGGATGCAAACTGTAACTCTGCACATGCCCAGAGACTTGAAAAATTCCGAGGATCGCCTTTCCCACCTTGGATCAGATTCATGTCCTAAAGGCCTACAAAGCCCATCTTGGGGCGGTGGAGAAGGGGCTCAGCACTCATCCCACTCTCACCCCCGGGCCTCCTTACCCAGCCACCGTCCCCGGTTTGGGTGGCGCAGCGTCCAGTGGAGGCCTTGTCTTCCACCGGCTTTGAAGCCGGAACGGCATCTCGGCGGCGGCGGGGTGTGGGGGAAAGAAAATGTGGGGACACAGGGGTTGCAAAAGCCGAACAGACCGGCCTTTAGCATCCTGGCGTCCCCATGGCAACACTCCAGGGAGGGGCGGATCTGGAGGACCTGCCCTCTGACTCCACAGGGCTAGAAGGCCCCCATGGCGAATACCAGGAAGAGGCGGGCCCGGAGGACCTACCCTCTGATGTTCAAAGCCTAGAATGTTCCCAAGTGGCATTCCAGGAAGAGGCGGGCCGGGAGGATCTGCCCTCTGATATCTGAAGGCTAGAACGTCCCCAGGTGGAATTCTAGGAAGAGGCGGGCCCGGAGGACCTGCCCTCTGATTACGACAGGCTAGATCGTCAGCATGAAAGGCCCTCTGAGGTCAAACGCCCTAGACAATTCCTCTACTCGCCTGCCCGTCCACTTCTCTCCTCCCTCTCCTGGCCACCTCAAGCCGGAGGACCCAAGCCGTCTTGCCCCCCCCCCCCCCCCCCCGCCCCGTTTCCCAGCTATGGGAATTAAAAGCGCAGGTCCTCTAATTTAATCGCCCCCTTCATTCCCCCCCCCTCCAGTCTTTGTACAGACTTCAAAGCAATCTCTTCTTTTTAATTCCAATCACTTGATCCCAAAAGTGCGGAGGGATTGCTTTAGTTAGTAGTGGGTTATTACTTTTATCTTTTGATGTTCGTCTACTTGGTCTTGTAGTGATTGATGGGTTAGTGTTTTCACTTTGTTTTGTAATGTTATATTCTAAATAAAATTTTACAAAAATAAAAGTGCCGCTCCTGAAGGGTCCTTGTCCGGTGGCGGATCCTGAGATGGATCGAGGAGGACGAAGAGGAGGAGGAGGAGCAAGAGCTCCTCGCTTTCCCAGGGACCAGGAAGGAGGAAACCTCCTAGCGCCTTGGTTTCCTCATGTCCCCCTCAACCTTAAAATTTGGTCCGATTGATCCATGCTAACGGTCATACTGCAGGGCAAACCCTTTCACTTTTAGGAGCAAACCTTATACGGGGAGAATGACTGTCACATTCCTCTAGCAGTGAAACAGAAGCATTTTCCAGGGGATGGGAGATGGTGAGGTAGAGCTATATTGTTTGTTGGAACAAAACAACCAAGAGTTTTCTACTTCCTTAAAGCCTAATTATGTTTCTTTAACCAGGTTTTTGGTTAAGCACCCCCCACTTCTTCAGATGCAGCAAGAAAAAGAGAGCTTCTGCGGAATAAAATAAAAGAAACGTCTGGTTTGCCGCAATGTACCCAGAAAGAGGCAAGGGGGGAATCCCCCCCCCAATGGCTCTTGTTTTGAAAGAAAACAGAAGGCAAGAGCTAAGCAGAACACACGGGGGCAGACCATGAAAACTGGTCATAATCAATTCAATAGTTTTATTTTGAAAGCAATTGTATAACTCTTGTTAATTGTATGAAGGAAACAGAACCTTTCTCAGTTGATTCATCTCAAGGGGTAACAAAGGATGTTGTCGGTTGCCTCTTGCATGTGTTCAAAATGTAGGTTATCTTCATTTTAATGTACAAGAAGTGTCCTTTGGGCAACTATCTGTAACAGGAGCGCCTTGTTCCTTTCCTTTAAACTACAGACTGCAAAATATGTGTTACAGACTAGGGGGGAGTTCCAGATGATGCTTTTTATTGTACACTTGCCATTTTTTCCATGAACATTTATGAGCGTTCAAGATATGGATATCTTCAATTTCTGGCTGTCATGGGTTTCACCATAATTTCTTAAGAGTTTTCCACCACTGGAAGCTTTTAACACTCAGTGCATAGACGCAGGCACCGGTCCCTTAGAGGTCCTTCTGGTTTTACAACTAAGACTGAGGAGTTTGTATAGTTATAATTTTGTGGATTGTTTTTCAAGTGAAAAGGGGGTGAGAAAAAATCACATCACAGATACCAGTTACTAAAGTGTCAAATAATATGTATTGAACATTGTGCCCTTAGTAATGCATGAAAAGAATGCCCACTCCCAAATTTGAGCGCAGCAAGGATTCCTGTACTGCCAAAGGGGTAGCCACGTTAGCTTTCTCCTTTGTCCTCTTCCTCCTTCTCTTCCTCATCATCCTTCTCGCCTTTGAGCTTCTGCCGAGCAAATTCTTCGATAACAATGTCCTCCGCACTGAAAATAAAGGGAAAAGGCGAGTCTGTCAAACTCATATGAATCAGTCCCTCTCTTCCTCTGGCCTTTGGGAAGAGACCAATGTCAACAACTGTTGGGGACACGCCATAGGCCATAAAATTCATCAACCACTAGTCACACAGAACTTTTTCCATCTGAGGTTATCAGCTCTCAGTTAACCTTTTCAAAGGATCTAGCAAGATTTTTTTTTCACTTAAAGGCCATGGTTAGTATTATGTTGCAGGTTCTGTAGCCCTGTATTGACAGTTCCCAAAGGCATTTTGTGATGTTTACAACAAAGATAACATGGTTTTACCTGTTTTTCTTTTTGCACACCGTTTGGTATACAAACAAAAACATTTATTGTTCCCTGCCAGGAGGCAAGCAGATTTGGTTCTCAATTCTATGGTTTTTTAAAAAATTAAATACAGGAAAAAATAAACTAGAGTTATAAAGAAACTTGGTTATCTTCTTGCAAGAAAACAATGCCAAGAATACCAAGAAACAGGATGAATCATGAGGGTAAAATACAAAGAAAGAAGATGGAAGGAACTGGCAGCAAAATGACCATGTTCTAGATATTCAGCACAGATGAACATCCTGGTCATGTGGTACCTTAAAACTCTAAAAGGCATTTTGAATGCAGAGTTTCAAACTGATCCCAAGGGAACTGGGTTTCAGTCACACTGTTTAATATGATGATCCCAAGATGTTTAGCTCTAGTCACAAATACAGCTGCACACCCTGTTCCCTCACACCCACTAAACATGACTTGTTACAAATTCTCTTTAGAGTTTCAGGATCTTTTATTCCTTTACCTTGCCACATCTGTTGATAGTGAATGCACCAGAGAAAGGCAGAGGAAGAAAGAAACAGGCATACACTGGTTAATCATAGTAGTAATTACTATAATTACTAAATTATTTAAAAGAAAAGCCACCGTCAGCCTACTAATGGCTACACAATCCAACTGTTGTTGTTATGTGCCTTCAAATTGGAACTGAGTTACTGAGGCTCTAACGTGAATGTGTTATTTAAGGAGTGGTTTCACCATTTTCCTCACCCCAGTGAGTTTCCATGGCTGAGTGGGGATTCCAGCCCAGGCCTCCTGAGACTTATTTATATTATTTATTCCTTCATTCAATTTTTATACCACCTATCTGATGCGTGGTTGCTCTGGGCAATCCATTACTCTGTCTACTACACCACACGGGCTACATAATATAAAGATATTTCCATATAAGTTTTTTCAGGGCGTCCGGATTTTTGAAGTCACGCCTGCTTGGAACACATGTGAATGCTCCCAGGGCCTCCTGGCCTCGTCTGTGGGTCTTCATTGGGTTGCTCACAGGGGCTCTTAAGCAAACACGGTTTTCTTCTTCTTCCATGGAAAGTTTTAGAATCTGATTTACATTTCAATTGATTTATTTAAGCTTTATTGGCCATATTAATAAAGCTTTATTGGCCAAATTAATAAATAAGTTCATATTAATTTAGAAGTGACCACAAAGCCCATCAACCCACCCCCACCTCTCTGTTCATGCAGGAAGCTATCAGAAGGAAGACTTCAGAGTTGCTACGGTAGGCGGACTGCCTCTCCTGGGTCTGTTCAGGGCCCATAGGCTGGCACTTAGTATCAGGTTAAGGTTTCAGAGCAACTTTCAAGCCAGCTGTAGGGTTGGCAAACCAAAGGAGAAAAGGCCATTAATAGCTAATAATTTCAACACAAATTGAGGACAGTTGGATTGCAACAACACCACAAAAGCTGCTGGACAATATCAGTGATTTTGGCCTAAAATTAAGTCAATAGCAGGCTGGAGCACGTGCAACTTTTCACTGATCCAACTTGGCTCTTTTTATGTTACATCCCACACAGAGCCAATTTCAAAGATTAGAAGGGGAGAAAGGAACCATTCTGCCATCTTAGAAGATTAAATAGTCTTCTTCTCTAAGAGAAATGTTTTCTGCAAAGCAACTTTATACTCACTGTCAGCAGGTTTTGGATGCATCAGAACCACGGGTAGTTCTACACCAACATCACTGAAAGAGAGATCGTAGAAGTACTAAGTGGGAGGAACGCACAGAGAAGGGCCTCTACTGGGCAGGAGATTCCCGGAGGAACTCTGGAACTGTGTTGGACACAGAAGAGCCACACAAGAATGGCACGACGACTTTCCTTTAGACAGCAGAGAATCACGACTTGGCTACTTCCTTCCCTAGGAATCACTAAGCCTTAACAGAGACAGGCACTCCAGAGAACAATCTTTTCTACGGCGAACAGCTGTCATTATTAGCAACAGCAGCAGTTGTGTTAGTAGTATTTGGTCTAACCCTATACTGAACAATAACTTAAGGAAGACAAAAAATATAGCATATATCAAAAAGTACTTGAAAAGGAAAATACACTATTGGCATATACAACATGAACACCCAGAAAATGGTCAATTAAAACGATTACAGATAAAAACATTTAGAGTAAAAAGCTAAAACACAATTCACAAGCTAGGGTGTGTGTTCATTTAAAGAAGGTCTGGGGAAAGAGGCAGGCTTGGTGCCACCTGAAACTGGGGAGCAGGCGTGAAGAAGGCTGCTACGGGCTTGCTGGCTGGTGGCTATCCACAGGTCTCCTGGGTCAAGCAAACCTGGCCAATGGTCTTCCTGGTGACATGGGTCTGAATTTGAATAGGGTTACATGGCCTCAGGGGCCTAGAGCATCCTATTGTGAACTTGGAACTGTAGGCAAGAAGTAGCCAGTGCCAGAGTTGTTTCAGCAGAAATGTCCTCAAGGTGCATACGTTGGCATCCAGACCATGACAGCCTGCACCAGCGACAGCTTCTGGACTAAACACTAGGGTAGCTTCACCACATACTGTGCCCGACACCCATCTAAATGTGACAGAAATGGAGACTAACAAATTCATTCTTACCTTGATGTGAGGTCTCCCAGAATGCTGGGGAAAGAAAAACATGCACATTGGAGAGCACACTAAAACAAACAAACAAACATTCTGTTTCCTTGTCTCAGAGGTTTTAAAATCCTCTGCCTTGTTCTGGGGGTAGCTGCTGTGCAGGCAACATTAGTCTAATAATGTGGCTTTCACTGGTGTGGCCTTAAGGTTCCGAGCCTCTTAGGGTGCCTGCCAAAGCACACTGAAGAGGCAAACAGTGAATGAAACTGGAATGTTTCTTTGGAATGATGGCCATTTGAGTCCCAAGTATTTAAGAAGCCAAAGAGGTTGAGTCAATAGCAGCCTTTACAAAAAACAAAATCCATATGATAATGTATTTAAGAAGGCAGCTTTGCCAAATCCAGCAGAGTGAGTCTCTTCTTATACACGGGGAGCCCAAGGGGAATTATCTTCAGGAAGACCAGGTGGTGCCTCCAGAGAACAGCTTGGCCTGTGACACCAGGACTCAAGGATGACAAGTTTTCCATCCTTGTGTGGAAAAGAAACTCACCCTCCTCTGGACACCATCAGGTTGACTTTCACTTTGTAGGAAACCAGGATCCCCAGCACTTCCTTGTCCATTCCAGGTCTCAGACTAAAGGGGGGGAAAGGGGAAAGAGAAGGCATGTCAAGGCAGGGGCTGAGGGGCAGTCGCCTCAGGCCATGATGGAGGAAGGGATGCTTCATCTTACACCGTGGTGGAGGCCAGGTTGGTGTCCTCATGCTTGAGCTTGCCATCCAGTGCCAGGCCGCGCTTCTGCCTGTTTTTATCTAAGGTGGGAGTCACTGTGTAGCTTTTGGAGAAAGTGGAGTTGGCAGCAACATTCTCACTGAAAGGGCCAAAAGAAAAGAGCTCAGGGAAATACGGTCTAGTCCTGAGATTAGAAAATGCAACCCATCAGACCATTACAGCTTAGTACTGGAAATGGGTGAAAAAGGAAGCCCACAGAAATATTCCTATCAGAGCTATCTTTAAACAACAAACGGAAAACAAAACAAAAAAAGTAATAGGAGGAAACTGAAATTGGGCAAAATGCAACTTTCTAAGTGCTGCTGGGCTATCAGCTGAGCCAATGGTCAGGAACACTGGGAGCTGTAATCCAACCATATTCTGACGTGCCCTCTACCACATCATCAGATATGTTGTGCACACGCAGCCATTCCCAGGCACGTACTGCATATCCATGCTGGGAAATTTCAGCCACTCTCCCTTTCCCAGTGCATTTATGTTCAGTCAGCGTCATGCATCAGGGACTCCAGAAATTCACAGAACTGTCCCGTCATTTTCATAAGGCACAATACATAGAGAATATTAGCCCACGATGTAGCCCATTTCTACTGTAGTTAAATTGTTGTAAGACACCCAGAAACTTTGGGTCGTGTGGACGACATATAAGTGAAAAAAACAAACAGACAAACAAACAAATGTTTAAGTGACTTTTAACTATGCAAGGCCATGACCTAAGAGCTCATTCTATGTAAAATTATATTTCAAGGCCCATCCGTCTCTTCCATTTTTCAGCGCAGTGGAACAATTCTCTGGAAGAAGAAGTGTGGGGTGTGGACTGGGAAATGTATTTTGAACAAAGGCAAATCGAAAATCAGCAATTGGCAAACACAAATCTACAATTTTTGTTTTTTAAAAAAGAAGGGAGTTACTGTTGTGAGACAAAACTGAAATCAAGTCAGAGATTTGCCTATGTTCACCCTTACTGGATCCATATTTTTTCCCACCACAAGATATACACACACCTACAGGTATGAAGAAAATCTTCCCCACCCTTTTCTTTCTTGCCTCTAGACAAACAGGACACTTACACAAACTCCTCTGAACACACAACCTTTGTATATTTGTCCAGGGAATAGAGAACCACATCTGTGATCTGTTCAACTAAAGAGAGAGAGAGAGAGAGAGAGAGAGAGAGAGAGAGAGAAGGTAATTAGGGGGAGGCTATGACATGATACAGAACACACACACCTTCATGTATCAGGGGACACAGAGATTGAACCCACCCTCTTAAGAATCTGTTATTTTCTTAAAAAGAGGTCTGTGGACCTAAAGCCTGGAGAAGACACTAGAAAGAGTGTGGCTGAATAGTACTGGTCAAGAAGAGAGATGAGGTGTCTGGTTTCCCAGTGGATCACAACCAACCCCATGAGTGCTAAAAGCCATATTATTAACCATACTGAATAATCAAGTTTATTTGTGCCTAAGTTATCAGATCAGAAATTCCACTATGTTGACACAGAGTTTTTATTTTGCACCAAATCCTGGTATGGATCACGGTGTCGACTGAAATAAAACAGCAACGTCCACATGATTTCCTGTGTTTACTGTGCCCCCACTCCAATAATTCTTCAAGTCAGATTACCAACCTTGTGAGAGTTGGTGGCTTCATGAAAATCGAAGTATAACTCTGGAAAAGGATGTGGGAATGAGGTGTGGGAGGGGCAGCCCAAAGGGAAAGTCAAGAGAAAGGTGTGGGAAGAAAGGAGAGGCACCGAAATCCCAATCCATCTTTCGTCACAGGACATTTAAGCAAAGACGCTAGAATCCAGTCTTGCTCTTTCTTCTTACCAGATATTTTAATTTTCTTCACAATCTTGTTGGTGGTGTTGTTAATGTTGACATTAACTCCGATGGGATCTCCATGATAATAAACCTGAAATAATATTGTTGCCAAAGTGAGAAGATAATTTTCAAGTTGTCCTGGGTTGTACATCTCCTGTGCCATTTTATCACCTGGCTTTCAAGTTTAAGAGCAATACATGATGTTCAGGAGGGGGGGGCCTGTGTTCTGTTGGGTAAAGCAAATTGCCATGGACAGAAGCAAAGGACAACAGCAGTGCCAGAGTGGGAGCCCACAGCCTCGCCCTCTAGAGAAAAGTGGGAAGCAGAGATGTACCTCTTTGTCCAGTGAGGCCTCAAGATGCAGCGGCTTGTCTGACATCATGAACTGCCTGGTAGTCTCAGCCTTTGGAGCTGGGCCTGTCTTCTCAGGAGCAAACTGGACCTTTCGGATCACCAGCCTTACAGAATTCCTGGAAGCAGAAGGGATAGCTAACCAGCCGAGAGCCCCAGTGCCCAACTGGGGGTTTCACACAAGACTTAATGTCATAGGGGTCAGTTGCCCCAGATCAGTGACCCCAAAATTAGAAGGGACAACCCACTTCCTTTTGGTACTGGGTCTATTTAAAGGATAAACATGAAAACATGGAATGTCTAGTTTTCATTTATTGCTTAATGGATTTTTCAGCTGAAGAAAAGGGTGAAAATGCTTATTAATTCAATATGTAACTGTTAAAAGATGTGTCTGACTTACCTCTTGTGAATTTTCTCTTCCAGGTTTTCAGCACAAAAAGTTTTGACCTCAAAGTCAACACCACAAGACTGGAGGAAGAAAATAAGAGCAAAGCCTCACAATCCATCCTTCTTCTGAATGTTCATTTACAGATATGGATTAGATAGAGGAGCAGTGATGAAATCTTAGAGTCCTGTGCTATCTTGAAGGCTACAAATTCATCAGGGCATAAACTCTGCTGAAGCAGGGCATTTCCTCAGTTCCATCAAGGGTTATCCTTGTTGATAGGTTTAAGGAGAGTAAAGCATACTGCAAAGGGCGCACCGTCTTGCCGTGACCAATACATCAGTGATGCGAAAATGAATCAGGAAGGGTGTGAAAAAAGTCATGCTGTCATTTTGCTTCCCCGAGCAAGTAGCTCTGGCTGGCGCACCAGCTGCAGCCTTCCTTAGGAAAGGGGTAGGTCTGGCCCCAGGGAATGAGGCCTTACCTGTGGCATTCCTGTGATGAGCTTCGAACTGGGTTGCTTTCTGAAAGCATTTGGAAGCTGCAACCAGGGCAAAATATTGACAGCCAGACCATGGGCTGACATGGCCTTTAGATCTTCTGTGCCACCCATCTTGACTTAACTGTGTTAGTTCTCAGCTGCTTCTGAGTTCAATCCCAGACGCTTGCTTGAGCCTACAAAGCCCCAAAGGCCTTCTCCTCTCTCCCTGGGAGGCCACCCAGTCTTTCAGATCTTCATCAGATGCCCCGTTAGATGTCCCACCTTCCCTTAGACAGCTGAATATGTGAGACAAGGCACCTGTGGAACCCCCTGCCAAGGGAAGACAGGCTCCAAGGTGAGCTTCCAGGGGGCAGCCGAGAGTAGGTTGCTTTGCATGGTCTTTGACCTGTTCGTTTTGAAACTTCCTTCTAGAGTTCCTGAACTGTTTTTAAAGACTTCACTTTTATATATGACTTTTAAACTTTATTTCATCTCTCTTTTTTGCTTCTCTTGATGTTTATTACATGTGGCAAACCATACTTCTCATAGGTATACCTACTTTTCCAGCATCATCAGGTCCTGGCTGAAGTGTGACAGAACACGGAAGATTAGTCGCCATCTATGGGAGAGAGAGAAAAACCTTTGTAAGAACATGGACTCACCTTAACAAACGGTTTAATCCTGTACAAACCAGCAATTTCAGGAGATGGCCGCACCATGCCCAGTGGCATAGACTCTAGAGAGAATAGGGTGAGGTGGCCAACTTCACGGATTCAGTCCTTCCCCTGCTCCTTTGTTGTACATGCAAGGGAAGTCATGTGGATAAGCAGTCCTTTAAGGGTGCTTTCGTGCCATTCTGAAACCCTGGATTTGTTTTTTAAGCAGCCCCAGAGCTGTCTGAAGACAATCCTAAACCCAGCCGTAGTAATGTATTCATGTGGAGGCTCATCTGGAAATGTAAGAGTGTGTCTGCTGCCGTTCAACTGATGCAGGATCGAAGGCTCCCCCCCCCCGAAAGAACGACTCAGGTGCAGATCCCCTGAGACTGAAACCGTTTCCACGCTGATCCCAGAGAGGTGAGCTCACTTTCATGACTTTGATACAAGTCAATGGTCCTTCTGTGGTCCCTCTCCAAGGGTAAAAATAGGGTGGTGATCGGGAGCCAAGGAAGCTCGAGGCACTTACTACGTACCTCAAAGGTGAAGGGGTAAGCATTCTCTCCCAGTTTTTTCATCAGTTTCTCTTGCAAAGGAGTGAGGGTCTTGGGTGCCTGGTCTGGCACAGGAGGAAAAAGCTGAATGGCGAGGACATAGAGGTCCTTCCTGAAGGTCAGCCCAATGACATCCAGATCGTCTCTGCCGTAGCGGAAGGCACAGGTGAGGGTCACGTACACTAAGGTCACCAGAGGACGGAGAGCGTTCAGAGGGAAAAGGGAAGCCGCCAGATGTGAGGGGGGGGAAGTCGAACAGGGAGGAAGAGAAGAAGATCACGTCGTGTTAGTAGAAAACAAAATGGCTCTTAATTCAGATAGAAATGTAATTCGCTCATAATTAATTCAGTGTGCAGAAACTAAAGTCATGAACTAATCTTTCTTTCTTAATCTTAATCTTTTCCCAACCATTTTGCAAGGTGCTTTACTACGGTTGCCCCATTTTTATGAAGAGAGGGCGGTCTACAAAGTTGCCTAGAAGTAACTGGTTACTAATAACAAGTTTCATATAATTAACTCCTTTTTCTAATAAGTAAGTTAAAACCACATTACATTACAATCATGCATTTTATATTTTGCTCTGTGCCATCCTCTTTGCCTACACCGTGACCTCTTGGCTTCTCTGTAGAGCTGACCTTCCCACTGTTTGCCCTTCACCTCACCCCTTGCCTGCCTGCCTGCCTGCCTGCCTGCCACCCACTAGGATTTGCCATCGTGGTACGGATCTCCCTGGCCTGCTTCCACCTAAACTGGAGGAGTTGCAGCAGGAGCAGAAGTGGTGCCTCCTTCCCTTCCTTTCCCGGAGGTTCTTTCCTGGAGAGCCTTCGTCCCCCTCCTTCGGCAGGGAAATGAATGGGGCCGAGGAGAGAAGGGTGCTCCTGAGGCATGGCAAGCCAACTAATATGGAACCAAGAAAGGGCAGGGAGAGGAACTCCTGGCACAGCCAATCCCTGGTGCTTCATGTGCAAAGACATCGTTTGGGGAATATTAATTCCGAGGAAAATATTTACATCTCCCCATTCCTGTATGCGTCACTCAACATAGATCTCTTTGAACAAGAGATTCTTCCGAAGCAGAGCTGTATTTTAAATTTTTAAATTTATGTATAATAGTTTAATTTTTTATGACACCTTTGTATCTTGATTTGGAGTATCATTGCTGCACAGTGCAAGGCCTGCCAGGGCAAACCGTTACCCACTGCCTTATTTTAAAAACTACCATGGGCATTTTTTAAAAAAGCCTTTTTCCCCCCTCCGCGCCTCCCCCACCATGTGTATTTATTGTTGTCTTGGGAATGCTTTGTATCCAAAGGCGACAAGTTGTAACATTCTGATGCTCTGTTTATAAAAAGTAAATAAAGAGTAAATATTTTGTTTTCAACATGGTAATAATAGCTGCAGCCAATTTCCTTTTCAGAGTGAGGCCTGAAATTAATGATAATGATATCCTTCAACAAGCAGCTTCCCAAGCTCTCCTGAGGAGATAATCTTTTAAGTAAGGTCAGAGAACTCAGTCTCTGAGAGCTGATCTCCTTCCACAAGAGGCGAAGAGGGCAGGATGAGGAATCTGGCAGCAGGTGGGTTGGGAGGCTTTGAATTTGGGGGAGCCAAAAACCAGCCCTTGAATGAAGACTTGGCGTCGAGGTGCCAGAGGTCATTTCAAAAGGAGAGGACGTTTTTAAAAGGAGAAGAAGAAAAAACTGTTGAGAAAAATGAGGTGGAAATTAAGGAGCCACCCCTGCCCAGAGCACTGCTGAGCTTAGGACGCGGTGGCCATTTTGCCACTGTCTCCCCTTCCTCTTTGAGCTCCATATAGGATTGCTCTGTGACAACATTGATCATCACTCACTGAAAACACTCCAGCCGTCGTCCCTTGCAGGTGAGGGCATAAAAGGAGACTTGACCTGGCCCAGCATCAGGGCTTTTAGAAGAAGAATGCAACTGGTCCAAAAATCAGCATATTCACAAAGTCAGGGACCCAGTAGCCAGTAGGTTTACCAATGCAAGTGTCTGTTAATGGTTAGGATTAGGGCTTTTTTTTATCTCCTGGAGCTAGAGTTGTCTTGAACTTGTCAAAGGTGCCAATACAGCCATAGAATCAGAGGATTCTTGGAGTTTATCTGGTCTAGCTGTATGCTGAAGACAGACATTTATAACAGAAGTATTTATAACAGAAGTGTGCATGCCTTTCCACACACAAAGAAAGAAAGAAAGAAAAAGAAAGAAAGAAAGAAAGAAAAGAAAGAAAGAAAGAAAGAAAGAAAGAAAGAAAGAAAGAAAGAAAGAAAGAAAGAAAGAAAAAAAAATTACCTTTCCTGTCCTTCAGGTATTCTGGGTCAATCAAGACAATCCCATCTACAAACAGATATAAAAGAGAATGTAATTTAGAAATGCCAGTGAGCCTTAAAGGATGATAAATGTTGTGGCTACTGTGTTGGTGTCAGGCAAAAAAGGCTAGGAATAAAAGCTCTCATCAGCTAGAACCTTAACCTGTTTGCCTCCTTTTTTTCCCCTTGAGCCTAACTCAGTGCAGAGGACTTAGATTTGCCATCTTAGGTCTGAAAAGAATTTTCCAAAGAGAAGACAGGCTTCTTGGAGGTTCTTAGCAAAACTGTGCTTTCGGTGCTCTCTGATATCTCAAGTTGAAAGCATGATTGACTGGGAAGTAAGACCCACTGAGCAGGAGGGTTTGCTTCCTTATGACTGTACGTAGCACCGGAGCCTAAATGCCTCCTCGTTGAGGATCAGTTAACCCAACAATTTCCCCACCCCCTCGATGCTGTTTACCATTCTTTCTGAGTCTCAGGAGAAAGTGCTTCTTGAAAGGTGGATATAAACTCAAAAGTGGGGGTGGTCGGTTCAGAAGCAAAGTCCTAAACCTCAGCCCTGTGAGAGCTTCAGCCACCATCCAGACCTCTGGAACAGGGAGACGGTGTGTCTGTGAACTTTGGCAGGACTGCAGTCAATCCATGTGCCTTTCTGTTGCCTCCGTTCCTGCATTCAGCTGCCTATCTGTCAGTTACAAAGCACGCAGCCCAAAGTGGTGGGTGTGATAAGGCTGGATGGGACCGTTTCCAGTCGCAGGTAAGGGGAACAGCCACATTTTTGATGTTCTGCCATGATCAAGGCCCTCCTCCTCACCAAATGGAAAGTGAGTGTAGGAAGCAGGAGAATCAACGAGAATATATATTCCCTCTCTTGTCTTCTGCTTTGCTCTTTTGGTCTCCTTATTCTGAATATTTTTAAAAGCAATTTAATAAATGTAACCTGTCATAAAAGAGCTTTCCAGAATAACAGAACTTACTTGCAACCTTGTACTCCATGACATTCTATGACCCCAGGATTTTACCACCTCATTCTACCACATGCTCAGTTCTCTGGATAATGCCTCTACGTAGGAACCAGGTTTTCATTGTGTGTCAGCGTCCTAAGTTGTGATGCTGTGTGCAAAAGGGATGCCTCCAGAAGACACTGGAGGGTAATCACAGTCACTCACCTACGGGTTCGACATCCTCCACGCGGTCCACAAAATCACGCTTTCCAAGATAGATGGATAGCTAGAGGGCAGGGTGGGGAAAAGTAAAAAGTTTGTACTCCAAATAGGCTCACAGATTTATGCTGTTTTACTTTTGAGAACTGGCTGCCTGCCCCAGGCATCATTTCCTCATAGGAAGACGGAAGGAAGGCAACCTGGACCTTGACTGTGACAGTGGTATCCTTGGCCTACCTCACCGGGAAAGCTGCATCCCACCCTTGGAGGAAAGACAGCCCAGGTGTGGACGTGCAGGTAGTCTTCTCACACAAGGCTTGCGCCTGCCGCTGAGCCGTTCCACTCACTGGAAGATTAAGCTGAGTGGTGGCTCTACAGAACATGTAATAATGGTTCCTTTGAAGGCCATTCACTTGGGAAAGGGGAAAAATGTTGGCGGAAGAAGGCTTGGGGCCAGCCAAGGACCAGTTGAGTCTTTCAATTGATTTACTTCTCTCTCTCTCTCTCTCTCTTAAAGATGAGGTTAAAAGCTGAGGAAATAGCTGCAGTTGCTATGATCTCTTTTCTACAAGAGGGACTCTTGGAGATAGAGAGAGGGTGATAGCTGTACTTGCTAAGCCCCATGGCTGGGTCAACGGAAGGGAGGGAGGGAGGAGTGGGTTGGCAAGAGCCCCGCCACTATCCATGGCTGTCTTGTGTATGGTGGCATGTGGCAGGTGTCCTGCAAGGCTTGGCTGCCATGAGCATAAACTGTCCTGTCCTGGGACAGTTGCTCACATGCCAGCTGCAGATCTGACCATGAGAAAGGCATCATCGTGGTACCCACACACTCACCACCAGCTTTAACATTTAGAAAACTCCTTGGACCTGCCAAAAGGCAGCCTGAAGCTCTTCGTCAGTGGACCAAGGCCTAAGAAAGCAGCATGAGCCCC